GTGTTTATCATTTGAATTCCTTCAATTTCAAACGAATGACCGCTGATTTTCGTGTAATTTTTGTAGTATTTCAAATGAATATGTACCCACTGTTGTCTTCTAATCGGATTAAAATCTGGCCGAATTTTGGATAGAATTGGAATTTTGGCCGATATCGAAAAAAGGTTTGGCCGAATTTGGCCGTGAGATGGCGTGTGTTTGGCCGTGAAGCCTGTCGACTATCTGGCAACCCTGATCTTGTATTTCTAGTATCTTTGCTGCAACGTTGACGGAGCAGGCCTGTACGATCACAATATTGATGTAGGCCTACTGAATAATTTCTGGGGATCAAACTGAGCCGAACGTTGTTGATACCAATAAGTATACGCGTGGACTAATCGGATTAAAATCTACTTTGACTTCATCATAGCCTAAGATTACATAGGCTATGCATGGCTAGTCTACTAGGCCTGTTGGAATAGTAGGCTAGGCCCAGTTCTCCAATGATTTCACTAAGTTAGTAAGATTCACGCATGCAGACAGACTCAGGAATCACACGCGCATAACAATAACAAACCGGTCAGTGGCGGATTCTCACAACTTTGTTTTTTGTATCAGGAGGAACGTATGGTCATTAAATCAACACCAGCGTTCGGCTGCGTGTAGTGTAGATAAGTTGTTAAGAAAATAATAGGTCAACATAATATACATAATACTTAGTTACATGTATGATGTTGGTATGGTCTAGGAGGCCTATGAATATATGTGTTTATACCGCTGCGATATGTTTGTTTTGCTATGTAGAGAAGGCATTTTCGGCGGCATCGATAATGAGCAAGATAAGTATGGAACGCCATTCGAAAACCACCCAGCAATGCATTATATCTGGTCTATTTGAAACAGCGGTAATAACGTCTTGCTACTTTTCACTGGGAGACTTCCAGTGGCCTAGCATGAGTAGCTGGCTGTTACAAATAGAGCACCACGCAATGGATAGCGCCGCTAGACATTTGCTATAACAGCAGTAGACAACAGATACGATACTTAAAAGAGTTGTTTTTAATATCAACATTTTGTTCTTTTCCTATTTTAAAATATTTTTGCTTGTTTGGATGATAACTATGTAGAGCGAATGCTAGGCCTCTGGAAGTCCCTCAGTGGTAGTTGTCAGGTTCTCGGAAATTTTAATTTAAAATTTTGCGAAAATGGTGTATAATTTAAACCAATATTTATTGAACTAATTATTTTTGAGGTGTTATGTACAGGGTAAATTAAGGCCTATTCTTTTTAAGTTAGGAACTTGGAAGAATTCAAAGTTAATGTGAGAAACCAATGGATTATGCCAAACATCTAGGCTCACCTGTAGGTTGCGGACCCACAAGGCAGAAACCAACTGGCTACATACTGGTGATTGGCCAGTACCTCAGGTAATTACCTACTACTGTATATAATGCTCTAATTATTGCACTACCAGTATTGTATTTGGTTCATCACATTTTATGATGATGCAATTGATGTTAATTGAGGTTGTTTTTGGTGCCTGCCTTCTGAATACACTGTTGGTTAATGTCAAAATGTTTATCGTATGTTTTTACTTTTGTATATGATTACTGTATGTAGTAGTTTTAATTGTGTTTTTGTATGCAAATTAATGGTGGCAAGCAGGCTTTTAAAATTGAGTTGTTTTGCTGACACTTGAATGCCTTGCTGGTCCAAAGTGTTGTAAAATTGAATGTTTCAATGGCTTGTTGGTCCAAAGTTTTGTACTTACTGCTGGTTTGAAGTGTTGTAAACATTATGTCTCACTTAATCTCTGCGTTTTAGGTCATATCCCCTCAGTTGCTGAATTTCAGGTCACACCTTTTACACTCGTAATATTTTGACAGACACCACTGATATTGTAGGTCATGTGGTCACTTACACTATTGGTATAAACAAAGAGTATGCAGTAGGGAATCTAGGATTTATTGAAAGGGGGGGGTGAGGGTGACCACGACAGTGGCCATCGAGGTTTGGGAGGGAGTGTTTCTCCCCCCCCCCTCCTTCCAGAATAAGAAATTTAAAAAAAATAAAGTCTTTGACACTCTTAAAAGCATTCTGGCTTTAATAAACTTTCATGCGTGTATTGTAGACTTGTGCCCACAGCCTATGAATGAATGAACATTCATGCAATTTTTAAACTCTACTCTGACAAATTGATCATTTACTGAAACACTGTTAATTATAGCCATTCGTAGGGACACAAGTAGTGCTGCGATTTACCAAAGGAAAGAGTCATTAAATACAATACACAATCCACATCTTGACTTCATAATTTAAGATTAATTTCTGCATTTAGACAGCCCTATAACATAAATGTCAGGGGCGGAAAAAAAAAACCCAGAAAAGATGGGAGTCTTATTTTGGTTCCTAGATGGCCAGAAATGAGCTTTCCCGACTTCTGAGGTGTCTTTTAATGACTTTTAACTTCATCAAAATTCAAGGTTTTCCCCCTCTTATTACATTATAGGCCTATTATGTGTGTATACAGATACAGAATAAATTTAGTACAGTACTCGCGCAAATAAACGCCCGGACGCTTAAAATATTTTTTGCACTTTTTGAGGGGTGCTTATTCAAATGGGGCGCTTATGAGAACGGGGTGCTTATGAGAACAGAGTGGAAATTGAGGGGGGCGCTTATGGAAATAGATGTAAATCTAGGGGTTCTTATGAGAAATTATTAAATTCAAGAGGCACATTATATAAAGGACATCAGGAAACCGCAAATTACGAATAGTGGTTCGGCGGAAAAAATAATTGTTCAGAGAGCATGGCTTGTCATGACAAGAATGTTGTGAGTACAGTATTACACAACAGCAGAATAGCAGATGAAATTAGTGGTGGTGGTTAGCTTGTTGGCCATCGGCCGATTGAGATTAGCAGGATGGTATGACCATTGCAAGTTTTCCTGAAAACTCAGATGAGAATGTGTAAAAGGTGCAAATTGTCGGAAAAGGAGTAGAACTAGGCCCCTAGGCTATAGCAAAATGCAAGATGAAGGTTGGAAATATACTGTCTGTCCAGGGAGCTCTCATCTATCCAAGATAAATATCCTCATTTTGATATTGACTAAAGGAGAATGTGATTCCACTCCACACCTCAAATCATGCCAACATCCACAGTCCCAGGATTGATTGGATTATTGAGGGTGCGTTTATTCAAATTAGAAGGGGGCGCTCATTCAAATGGGGCGCTTAAGGAAATTTTCACGTTAGGGGCGCTTATTCGAGAAGGGCGCTTATTCAAATGGGGTGCTTATTTGCACGAGTAAGGTAGTTGCATACATTTTTTTTTTCATGAATTGATCAACCGATAGACATTAAGAACACACTTTCGTACAAAAATGTTTTAAATTTTATTTAATTGAAGGCTAAAAATAGGCTAAGCCTTGTTTGTCCGATCTGGCATCTTATGCCTGTAGGTAGGTACAGCATGCCTTTTGTAGGCAAGCTCCAGTAGTATTTTTTTACATTTCTTTACAGAGTGGGGTTTGTCCGAATCCCCTGAACCCCCCCCCCACCCCTGGATCTGCCACTGAATGTAGTAAACAGAAAAGGACATATCCACCTTCACGTAAATGATATCAGCAATTTTTAAAATTATACAAACTTATAGTATTTATTGTGAAACTAAAAATTAAATATTTATTATTTAAATGCAACACCAATAGTTTGAATCTAGATACTTAAGGAATTACACCTTTTTCTACACCGTTTTGTATTAGACAGGCCATAGAATCAAATTATCTTACAAGAAAGTTTTCAAACAGGGATAAAAGTATATTTTTATCAGTTAGCAACCTTTTAATTACATCTACAGTATTATGAAACCTAAAAATGGATGTAAAACAGGACTTTAAAACCAAATTTTTCAAATGTGGTTATACAGTTGAACTTGCCTAAGCTGAATCCAAAATGCTATTGAAAAATTGTTCGAGTTAGATAAAATCTGACATACAGATTGTTAATTAATGGAAAACACAACAATTTGGCATGTAAATAAGATCGACTTAGCCAAGTTTAACTGTAGTAGTACTGTATTAACTTTAGCTTAACTTTAACTTATTGCTGCGAAGCAGCCAATTCATATTCTTGACAGAAATTTGACCTCTGAAAGGTCATTGTTTGTCAAAATACAAGGGCCTAAGACGACTGAAAAGCGGAGTTTCCTTCTTTCGTTCTGCCGGGTAAAACCAATTACTTTAGGCGACGTTTGTAGACTAACCAACACGTACCAACGTCCGCATGTCGTGCTAGCCTTATCCTACTCTAGGCCTAGACTAGCTAGGATTCTATAGGCCTAGCCTCGAAGGGACGAAGGCCCCAATGAAAAACAACGTCGCTACTTGATAGCTAACATTGTCTATTTAACATCACAATAATTCATTATTAGACCTATAGTTGTTTTTTGAATTGTACTTCACAAATCTCAGCCTATTCCTCGCACAACTCGAGTAACGTCTCATATCTATTGTCGTGACGTCATGGCTCGCTGGCTCACGCTTGCGATGTCTCGCACTTGTGATCAAATAACACGCTGGCTCGCACTTAGGCAACACTCTTTGGCAGTCAACTCGCCCCTAGAAAACCAGCCCTTGGAAACTTGCCCCATAAAAAAATGTACACTTCCTAGACCATGAAGTCTTCAAAATAAAAATTGCAACCTTTGGTAATCAACTACATTTTCCACATGCATAGACATTTTTGAAACTTTAATAAAAAAAACTAAACCATAATTCACCACTATAGACACTTTTTGACAAAAATGAAAAATTACGACTTTGTTACCCAAGTGTTACCATTAGAAGTGTTCTAATATAGACAATGGGTCGTGTCTCATATTATTTGTCATATTTTATTATTCATTGTTTTCACTTGACTCGCATAAATAATTTTGTTCGAAGAACATTTATATGCAGTTGTACTTTGCAGCACTTCACTTGCAATTTGCAATTTCAAGTCATAATTAATGATGTACAAATAGCATAATAATTGTTTCTGACAAAAATGTAATAATATGATGCATAATTCCCACTTCAGTTTTATTTTAACAAAGTCCTGTACTTCGTATCCATCTGTGGGTGCCACGCTTTCCCTTTCCATTCATTATTATTGTCAAGAATTATTCTGTCGGACTTTTTATGTGTGAGAAAACAGAATATTGACAATAAAAAAGGTAGACATGTCTGTATTATGTTTTGACCAAGGCCCTTGCTATCCTTGAAAGAAACCTAGCCTTAACTTTGAGCTCTATAATTTGGGATTTTTTTTTAGAATGGAGGGGGGTGGCTAGCCACCCCATTCATTTCATTGTCAAATCAATTTAAAATATTGTTTTGTACAGGAATTTACTTTATGCACAAACTCCAGCACTTATCAAAGACAGGCGATATCATTTAAGACTATTTACCAAATGTTTTATTGGAAAAGATGTTGTGGATTGGTTACTGTACCATGAAAACTTGACAGATAGGTCAAAGGTTGTTGAAATGATGGAAGTGCTAGTGAAGGGCAATGTTATTCATCATGGTAGGTAGTAGCAGTAGATCCTAACATTTGTTCTGTTCATAGCATCAGGTGTTATAAACTAACAAACCTTCTGTAACTCTTGACTTGCTGAATTTTGGGGGTGGGGCTCTAGCACAGTTTTGTTGGTGGTCACTGATTGTACAGATTGATAACATTTTTTGCAATTAAATCCAATTATAGACCACTATTAGGACCAGGGTCTTTTAGCAGCTTTGGTCTCTAATTAGAATAATAAAGATAAAAGACATTTGGTTAAAAAGTGATCTTTTATTGGAGGCGGTCTTTAATTGCAGGGGTCTTTATTTAGAGGGATACCACCTGTATATGACAGCATTTGCATCAGCATCTGCTCATTATATCACATACAATATATTATTTGTTCCAACTTTTATTTGACTCAGCTGCTTCTTGTTTTTAACTTTTAGTTAACAATTCATTGATGGCATTTCCGTACTGTTCTGCACATTAAACTTGTGATTATATGCTTCCAGTTTTGTTGTGCATAATCTGTTGCTTTTATTTTCTTATTAACTCATTCGTTCTTTTCAGTGACTGATGACCACGGTTTCAAAGATGATTATCTGTTTTACCGTTTTCGACTTGATGACAGTTCATTTGTGATGAAACGAGAGAATGAACCTTTCATAAAAGGCTGGCAACTCTTTACAAAGTAATTATATTTGTCAAACTTACTGAAAAAATATTACTGAAATGTTTAGAAGAGGGTCAGTTTGTGAATTCTATTAATTATTCCGATAAGCAAACATCTATAGTTAAAGAAGGCAGGCTGTATAATACAATAACTGTAAAAAGATTAATGAAAATGTGTTCAGTGTACAGGACGTTATAATACAGTACAGCATATGTGACCGACTCTGGCTTGTCATAAAAAAATAGGCTCCCAGCGGGAGCGCGAGTCTACTGCCTTATACAGGAGTTTTTATTTTTTAATTTTATCTTACGTTCTTCAATATGCAGTTTGTGTGTATTATTGTAGTGTATCTGGATTTTTCATGAAAATTTTATTTCATAACAATATTCTGTATAGGCCTACTACTATATTACACTAAAAACACTTTAAAAATGAGTAACTCTTACCAAGTTATGTCGTTGATCACGAAGAGTACTACCATGTTCTAGAAGGCGTCCTTCAAATGACGGTAAAAGGCGTTCGTGGCAAACGCGTGGTACGTCTCTATACATGTGTTCGAGTTTCGAACGCAATTTTGTTCGAGTTCCGAACGCTATTCGATTGTCAATAGAGTGCCCCCCTACTTCGTGGTAGTAGTACCCATCATGCATAAACTGGATTTACCCTTTTCCGCAATCTTTAATTGCTACATCATGACATAGTGTCTACGCCCCCGTTGGGAGAAGTAGACACAAAAACCAGCTAAAATTCCCATGTATTGACTATTTTAATACATGTTGGACTGAAAGTATAAATTATCATATCTTTGCCATTTTATATTGATCTTAATAGTGTTTGCATCAATTATTAGCTTTGACCTCTAGATTATAATGATATGATAATAATAATAATAATAATAATAATAATACACATTTACTAATTCAGTGAATGTTTTGGTTTCAATTTTTGTTTTTGTTAGGCTGAGTAAATCAGAAAATCCTGTATCCACATTCCTCCAAAGCAGAACAGAAAGTAACATCTCATATGAAAAGGTACAGTACAGTAGAATAAACATGTTTATTATTAAATATTTCATTTTATAATGCGTCTTTGCAATGGAACACTACTGTTTGTAGGCAAATTTTATTGTGATACAGACCAGCAAACCCATGAAGTAATTGATATATATCTTGCTTCATAATATTTGGTACAGTATAATTTAAAAAATTAATTTGTGAGTACTTGCTCTGTATCGTATTATTAATAAATTGATTAAACTTGTATGTGATTACAAAGGTTGTTGAGCCGTTCCCATTGCAAATTCATGATGCTGTATTGATTTCCTGGGAACAATAGTTTTTAATTTTTTATAAAAATAGGTAGGCCTATAGACAGGAGGGAGCTTTTAGGATCTGTCATTTATGGTGTAAGGTGCCTAGATTGCAAATCATGAATTCATACTAATCCTCCACTCACAACAATTTTATTGTGTTTAACATGAGTTAATTTTGAATCTTGCAGTGTTTTTATGGGTCTGAGATGGTAGATTATCTTGTCAGAAAAGGTGAAGTGGACTCACGTCAGAAGGCTGTCGTGCTTGGCAAAGATTTACTTGAGAGTGAAATCATTCGCCATGGTAAACATCTGTTCCATGTATACTAAACTCCATCATATATTTTAGACGGCTAGGGGATGGACACTGAAATGTTGTTTACTGTATACATCTACTGTATATGCTTTTTATTTTTCTGGAGTGGAGTTATTTAGTCTAGTGTTTAAGGTGCTTGCCTTCAATCGTGACAACAGACTTTTTCTCACGACTCAAATCAACTCCACTTCCTAAGCCTCATGAAGATACTTAATTTAAAAATCATCTCCCATCCTTGAAATCTGCAAGGTACTTGTTATTGGATGCAAATGAAATTTAAAAAAAAACAAAAACAGCCTGTATACTATAATGGTCATAATCACACTTTTATTTTAAGAAAATGGTGTAAAAAAGAGGTTTTATACATGCTCAATTACATAGTGACTACAATAAGATGTTTAATTAATGACTCTAACTGCATTAAAATACTGTATATTCTACAGTACTTAATTATTCTTTCTTTTAATTTTTACAGTTACAGAAGAACACCATTTTAAAGATGAACATATTGTGTATCAGTTTCATCCGCATCTTGAATCCATCAAGTTGTCCGATTTGTTGTCCATTGACCTGAAGCCACGTACGGGTTCAACTTCATCATGCAGCTCATCGCCAACGAATAGCTATGGCATTCTACAAAAGCTGCCATACACATCGAACGATGCACAACCGAAAGGTCAGTTAAATGAAGAAAAGTAAGTTGCAAGTACAAAGCAGATGTAGTTACATTTATGCTCAGTTGGGATTGGAATTTTTTGGTCAAAATAATGATGTACCTGGTCAGTTTCAGTCAAGTCACAGGAGTCTCCCGGAATTTTGGACGACCTCCCACACTCCACAATTCAATGAATCTGCATGTTTTTGCGAATATGCATTGCACCCAGATTGGTTTACATGACATCACAGTAGCGTTGAAATGTATTTCACACCGAAGGAATTGAAATCCACCATGAAGTCATTCTTACAAGTAGAAAAAGAAGAGTATGATTTAGTTTGGATTTATCTGATTATACGGGAATTATTTAATATTAACCTAGCTCATCTTTATTTTAAATTTCTCATGTTGAACTGTCGTGGTGTGAAAACAATATACATGTAGATCAGTATGACTTGCAATAATATACTGTAATTATATTTTCAGTGTCTATACCAAGGCATGCTTCATTGCCGGGTACTTTTGATGGAATGACCTTAACCAGCCTTAGTGACCTCAGTTTGGGTAAGCACTTACCAGTGACCTCATCCACAACATCACCCTCGTCATCACCAAGTGTGTCTACAGACACAAAAGCGCCACCATCTGTTCTGCTTCGACAAGCCACAGTGGAAGAACTGATGTCTGAAGACTCACCTTATATCCGTAAAACACTAACAGTATGTTAACAACACAAATTATAAAATTGTTCTTATATTAAATTGGCTTAGAGTTTAATGCATAAATGTTGTTGTTTTACCTGAATATCAACGTTTTGTAAGACTACAAAATGTTAAATTTCAATGACATACAATTTGAGTGAAACCCTGACTATAAATATACTATAATTCAAAGTAAATGTTGGTTCAATCACCTTGCTGTAATATAGTACTGTAGTGATTTTTCAGGCCAAATAAACTTTTAAACTAGACACCAGTCCAATTAACAAACATATTCTGTAAGAAAAAAATTCGCACTGCACCACACAATAAGGTCTCTTCCTACGCTCTTTCCTTGCAAGTACTCTTCTTAGGACAAATGGCCTTTAGACCTTTCACAAAAATATGTATCCAGAGGCAAGTTTCATTACCTTATTTATTTTAATGGTAAACTCTAATATTATATGATAAGTTTGTTATTCGTTATCAATGTTAATACTACTATTATATTTCAGATAACAAGCGATTCTGTAGGATATGGATTTATTGTACGAGGCAACTCGCCTTGCTATGTACAGACTGTGGATCCCACGGGCCCAGCAGCTGCTAAAGGCTTGAAGGTACGCCAGTACATATCGTCCGTCAACGGCCATAATTGCCTTAAGATGTCGCATCATCAAATTGCTGATCTAATTCTGAAGGGTGGGAACCAGGTGGCACTTGAAGTAATGATACACTTCAGGGATGCCTCTAAAACAACATGAAGAGTGATGACAGAACAATTTTGATAATATTTTTGTCAGGAAATTTAATAGGATTGATGCTTTTGCCCTACATGATGTGTTATCTTACTGAATGCTCAGTACACTCCCAAATACTTGTGAAAACCCACTTGGTGGTCAGTGGTTATAACACCAGGCTAGTTATATGGAGGTCATGGGTTTGATTCCCACCCTAATCACTTGGAAATTTTTTTCTCAAGTATTTGGGAATGTACTGAACATTAAGTAGGTAGGTCCGGTAGGGCAAACACATCATTCTGATAAAAGAAAACAACATACTAAAGAGGTGTATAAATCACAGTGGTGTAAGAATTTAAATTTTCAGCATTCTAAAAAAACTCTATTATCAAGTTATACATCCATGTATACCGGTAGGCATGAGGATGTCATATCTTACCCATATATCAGGTATTTGTCACAAAATTTGATGACAATTTGAAAATAGCTTTAGAAGCGATATCAGGATTCATAACCATCAGTAGAATTTTAAAATCTTTTTAACCTGAATTATATGAGGAGGTGGATTCAATATACAGGTTACCATATGATATTCAGTATGGATGTAAAATCAAACACATGCAGAACAGCGGTGGTGTTAACAGACTTCTCAAGTACTACGGAACGTGTGTAGTTGCAACGGAAATATTTGCCAAATTTTATGGACGTATGGAAATATACAAAAATACTATGGAAATTTACATAGGCCTAGAACCATAAATAAATAGGACTGAAGTCCAGGACAAATGACAGCATCGTTGGTTACATTGTCCCTAGACAACTCGTACTGATAAATTATTGTGAAAAATAATAAAAAGCCGAACATAGATCTTCATCCTGTCCTGTTCGTTTGAAATTCCACAGCTTTATTATCCTGTACCAGTAATTTAATTTAAGACAGTGCCACCGAGAGGGGGCAGGGGGTAGAGGGCTTACCAGGGTGCCCATAGAAATTGCAGGTAGCATTCAATAATGATAATTACTATCATGGGCCCTCAATAATGGCACGAGTCCCCTAATAATGGGCCCCTCCAGTTTGACAGGGTCCTTCAAAAAATATTTTTTGCGCCTGATGCAATTTTTATCGCACTTCACTCTCGTAACTAGGGGCCCACACCAACCCTTGGCCCTGCTACAGTTTCCCCTCTTAGCAGCCCCCCCGATTTAAGCAACCCATATGTTGCCCTCAAGACAAATTATTAGGTGTTAAGGTAATTTTGTATTTACTATGGATAATTGAAGACTTGGTTACAGAAATGCATTTTATTAACTAGAGAAGTCTGTGATAATATATCCAACACCGAGTTGTCAATTCCTGAGGACCACCTCTGCTAATACTAAATATTGAACGTCCCCAGTCCTGTTAAAAACATAGATTCAGTATGTGCCTTACCTGAGGACACAGATGTTCAATAATAAACCTGGGATTTGAATATGCAATCTTGCAAGCCCATAGCTTTAACACTCGGCTGCATTTTTAACCAAAATCTTAAACTTCTTTTTTTCTACACAAAATACAATGTATTTATGATAATAAAATATTATACAGATGTAATAATTATATAGTGAAATTATTCAAGATTTAAAACCCAGGCCTATGCTGTACCATATGCCATCATGTTTCATTGAATCTAGAAACACTGTGAGCATAATGTTGCTTTCTGACATGCTGTGTCATTGGCCGTATTCGACTAGTCGTTCTTCATTAACCACGCCCACCTGCGCAGTGAAAAAATCCTACTTAATGAAGACAACCAGTCGAATAGATAACTGGTAAATACTCCACAAAACAAAATGGCTGCATAGTTACCGTGATACACGCTGCGTAATGAAGGCTGCTTCGGATTGTGGCAGTATGGGTTTTTCGTTAAAAAAATGTTTTCATCCAGTTTTTGAACTCTGTTAGCCTACAATTATTTTTTGACTTCAATGTAGGTAAATATAATTTTTATTTTCTGAAATTTAAAATTTAATCTAAATTATATTAACGCAAATTAATGTTGTTGCTAAATTGACCAATCGGCCATATTTTTTTTTTGGTCACGTGCATAACTTACCGCTGATTAACACACTCTAGTTATGTTAATTTTCGTTGTCAACGAAGTCTATTTTACTTTTATGAACCAGTCGAATGAAAATAATACTCAATAAAAATTTGTACTCAACGAAATGAACCAGTCGAATAAGCCCAAAATTAATATAACATGAAATAATAAGAAACAATATAATGGTCAATAGCAGATCCAAAGGAGCAGATCCAGAATAATTATTGGATCACATGCCTATCTGTATTTAATGCTTTGGTCTGTAATTGCTGCTGTGTTGGCTCATTGAATTACTGTATAAATATTTTCTTCATGGCCAATCGTGATCTTCCTTATGTGTAATAGTGTTAATTTAATAATTAATCAAGCCTTTTAAAACCCCAATATTTCAAGCTCATTCTTAAAGTATAGGATGCTTTGTACACCGACAGATTTTAATAAAAGGCCATTCTAAAAATTTTTACTATAACCAGCTGGGCTGGTAGTCAATCTTGGCTGTAATATCTATAGCGAGTATCTTTTTCTTGTGAACATCCTTATATAGATCTGGCCTGTACTTGTCTTTTTAAAATGATTATTAATGTTTCTTTCAGATCAGTTCTTAATTGTTGTTGCTCTAAACCATATACATTGCAACCTTTAACACTTCTTCCATTTTAGTACAGGCCACCAGAGTTGGTGTATTTCGTAGGTTGTGTGCATACTATATGCACACTTGTGCATGTTTATCAGTAAAAGAAATGAAGAAAAGTAAATGTAAAGGGTAATCATTTTACCCTTTACATTTTTATTGATTTGATATATTTTTCCATCAATATAAGCATGTTGCTAATATTAATTACCTTTATAATGTAATAATTTGTGAAAATGTCTCAGGAATACCAGCATGCATAATCCTATTGCTAGTTTACTGTTAATGTAAATAAGTGGATAAACTAATTTGGGCATTCAAAAACTTGCTTTCAGCATTTTATTTTTGTAAAGTAATAAATTTTTCCAAGTAATGGAAGCAATAACAAATAGTATGCTATATAGTTTACAAATTTACATTTATTTAGTGGAAATAAACGGTAACTTATTCAAAATAGGTTACCTACTGTGAAGTTGACAGTAAAAATTGCATGTTTGTGAGCTGCATAGCATTTCAGTTACTGGGTATATAACAAATTATTTCTCTTTCATCCATTAAATAAAAAAGGTATGTTTAGGGTATCTAACTACTGCGACAAAATGCGTTATTGTCGCATGTGCAGTACGACTATTAAGTGTTCTCTTGTAGATAGTGTTCTTAGCTAAAAGTGTGTATCAAATTATTGATATACTGTAGGTACTATGCATGTAGTACAATAGTACATATTGTAAATTGCTCCCCATCCCTTCCCTCAGTGATGCATTTAATTTTATGACAAAGGGTCCAAACCACAAAATGCCTAGGGTAAATCTCCTGGTATGCAAGATTTTATGGTTTAGAATGGTAAAAAGTGTGTTTTTACAGACCACCACAAACTGTAGTTGGATTAATAAATTAGAGGTGTACAATGACAGGGGATCCCTGTTGGTCCCTAATGGAGGTATAAAAATAGAATAATTTTATACCTCCATGGTCACACACCACTACTTCTCTTATTATGGTTTTAAAATTAAATAATTATTTACATTTGTATAGCATTCTAAATTGCGCAGTGACGGCTTTAAATTATAAAACAAGCAGCATGACGACATTACAATAATTAAATGTTTTTTGGGGATGGGTTTGTTAATTGTTTAAGGTACAGAAATGCTGTATAAAGTAATATTGTTTTACTATGGCTAAGTTTACTAACATTTGTGTGTGAATTCTTTTATTTCCAGGAGTACTATAATGAAATTTAACTGTAAACATTTACAAAAATAAAATGTATCCATTACCAATATATGATGTCATTTGTTAATATGTTATGTATGTCTTCAGACTCTTATGATGTTTGCACCTGTATAAACTATTAACATTATTTTTCTTATATTAAAGCATTTAAATGAAACAATTGTTATTAATGTTTTGATGGCCTTTTAATTAAGAAAAAGAATAACATTAAGTATTTTAACCAGAATGAGTTGATTTTTTTTTTTTTTTTTTGGATTGGGATTTATTCAGTGTAAACACCAAGGATAACCCACGAAAGTCTAGAAGACTACTTATATCCAGTGGGGTACACCGGGAGACAATCCCCTACTCTCTTCCGAAGAGTGTACTGCGTTCTTTAACATGCACATGGGTCCAACGGCTTAAACGTCTCATCCGAAAGACGGTGCGCTATTGTAACTTGTATTTCAGGCCTCCAACTGAAACACAAGGAATTGAACTTTAGGTGATTTAAAATAATAACATAGGCCTGTTATGTAGTGTACAGTTGAACTTGTCAAATCCAAAATGGCATTGAAATATCGTTAGACTTACAAATTGTTAATGGAAAACAACAATTTCGCTTGTAAATAGCCGAGTATAGGTATATGGTAGAATTGTACAAATTCCCTCACCAAAAAGTTTTTTGTGACTTTATATTATTTGCAACAGCTTGCAATGTCTTATTTTTATTTTATTCATCAACACCCAATCAACAGCAATTAAAATTCCCACATCCTGGATAATTTAAAAATGAGTATTATTCTGCCTGAAAAATGTCATACAGTACAAGGGCAAACAAGATTCTTGCCTGCAGTATCCGTCATGACACTTTGCAATGATGCGACACTAGAACAGATTCACTCGTGCATGACAGTCCTCTGCACAAATTAGATTCCGCCAAATAGCATTCTAGAATTCACATGACAAGAATTTAATGTTCTTGCATCATCCACAAATGACTTCTTTTAGTAACGCCATTACATTCTACCCTCGTCATGCAATGGAAAGATCCCCATGACTCCATGGAGAACATAAAGCGACAAGGCATGCTCAACAGCTATCAGCTGGTGGCATCCTGCATCAAGCATTCAGAGAGAGCCGACTGTGTGCAAGACAGAATGTGCGACCAGCTTAAAACTACAAGTTCCCACTTTTCTGTGGCCCCAAATTAAGAAATGTCTAATTAGAGACTAAAGGCCATGGAACCTCCATCTCAAAAGTAGTCTTTAATTATAAGAAGACCTGTATATCGGTTTTAAATTTATACTGCAGTAACGTACATCTACAATTTTCACACCAACAGAAAACACAACTCAATGTTTTAAGTTACATTTTAAGCTTTATTTGCTTGTTTTCATGTACTCTTTAGAAGACTGGGTGACCTGGTCACACAATGATCAGCCCTTTACAGCATAAAAATTAGCCGAGTCTGCAGCCAATGGATAATGTTTATGCATCAGCAATTGTCACCTCAACCTCAACACCTGGTTCGATGCTAATGGACGTCTACATTCAATAGTCAAGGGTTATAACATATTGGGTCTGTTCAACATAGTAAAGTCCACTGTGTGGATGAAGCTAGAGCTAATAAGTGTTATAGTTTTTAAATATGTCATTTCTTATATTGTATATATAAACACTTCTTGAAATAAATATTTGTTGCATGACATAATGTATGTGTTGACTTTACAAACTGGTTTAATATAGAAACTAAAATGTATACCAACTTCAACTATAACAATTTTAAATAGAAAAAAAAAAAACCCTTGCAGAACAATGAAAGTGCTGACCCTCAAAATGCTAAATAAAAAATAACGTACAAATATTATATTATGACATCTTCAATCAAAAAAAACTTGTAAAAGAAAATGGCTCAACCAAACAGAATAAAACATTAGCACAACTGACCACTTGAAACTACCTTACGAGGCCACTAGTTTAAGTAAATCTATTGTTTGTGTTTATTTATGCCAAGTTGGACAACATTGCATAGTACTACAATAAAGGATACAATCTGTTTTACGATCTCCGAGGGGCTGTGAAGATCAATAAGCCGCTTGTGAATGCGCATTTGGAAGCGATCCCACGTCTTTGAACCTTCACCACATGGTGTCTTACGGGTGGTGATTCGAAGAATCTTAGTTGGCATACGGATTGGGCCTTTCACTTGAAGATTCTTGTCTTGTGCTCCACGTTTCAATTCAGCACAAACTGAAGCAATAAACGAAAAGAACATATGCAATGTGATATACAGTATAAAGATATGAATTTGCGTCAGGAAATATCATAGGAGTGATGTTTTGCCCTACCTGACGTGTTATCGTACCAAATACTCAGTACGTTCCCAAATACCAGCAAAAAAAAATTTGCAAGTGATTCGGGTGGGAATCGAACCCACGACCTCCAGGTATCTAGCCTGATGTCTTAACCACTAGACCACCAAGCTTGCGCTTGGTGACTAGTGATGAATCTGATCCCAAATTCATATCTTTATAGCACTTGCAGTACCCGCTGCTACTAGGGGGATAGGATTCATCACTAGTCAACAAGCGCAAGCTCGGTGGTCTAGTGGTTAAGACATCAGGCTAGATACCTGGAGGTCGTGGGTTTGATTCCCACCAGAATCACTTGCAAATTTGTTTTCGCTGTTATTTGGGGACGTACTGAGTATTCGGTACGATAACACGTCAGGTAGGGCAAACATCACTCCTATGATATACAGTATATTTTAAAATTTACTCCCCAGTAATAGAGTAGAGCATTAGGTTGAGAGGCAGAAAGCTCTGTCCACACTATCATATTAGATGTGACAAAATTGTGTGGTATATGGGCATGATGTCATGTGATGTCATGCGAGAAATTATCTATTTTATCAAACCATTAACATCAAAAAACCAGAATCAAACATTAATCTAAAAACCAGATGAATATTTTCAACCAAGATGATGTCATATAATTATACCCAAATATGGGCATATCACATAAAATTTGATAGTTTGGACATAGCTAAAGAAAACAGTGCATTGCAAATTGTCTGTTCTACATAAATTGCTAACAAATCTAATTAAAAAAATGTTGCCATATACCCTTTTCTAAATTCTTGACATTACGGCTTGTCAGAGTGATTCTAATACGATGGACAGTGACATCCTCAGCTGGTCCTTTTCCAGAGTCTTTGTAATGAGACTGCAATGAAGAAAAAAAATAATACTGTAGGATCAGCAAAAGTAACCGAGTCATTTCATCAATATTAAACCAATTAGCAGTGGCGTCTCAATCCCAGTTAAAAATACTCCCCCTCCCCCTTCCACTCAACCTAACACTGAAAATGTTCAAAACAAAAAATCGGTCAAGTAGATAAAAATCACCTCATATCACATAATTTTGCAAGCTAGTTCCACCTTTGCCTGCCCATCATCCCCCTCCCTCTCCCCCCTCCGCCATTTCAAGACTCCTAAATAAGCCACTGCCAAGTAGAACCCCATGGTCATAACAGCTGGGCTGGAAAAATTCCGCGACTGTGCGACTGGCAGTCAGAGGCATCGTGAATGTCTTGGAGGCATTTTTTATAGAATGGTGTACAGATAACATTTGAGGCTGGAGGAATTTTATCGAGACAATTTTCATACATACGTTGAAACAACGTCAGTTACCAACGTCGACGCAACAAGGAATAGATGTTGGATTTCAAAGCTGAATCGACGCTAAATATCGGCGTTGGATCAACGTCTTATATCAATGTTGTATGGACGTCAGATATCGACGTCAGTTATCAACGTTGAAACAACGTAGAGTATCGTCGACAGGAGGTTGGAAAAACGTTAGATTTGAAAGGTGAATTAACGTCGAATATCGACGTTGATACTACGTCAATCGCTGACATCGACAAGAGGTTGCATAAACGTTGGATTTGAAAGGTAAATCAACATCAAATATCTACGTTGAACCTACGTCAAACGCCAACGTCGAAAGAGGTTGGATAAAAGTCTAATTTTAAAGGTTAATTGACGTAAAATATCTACGTTGAACCAACATCACACATCGATGTCAAAAAGAGGTTGGATAAATATTGGATTTGAAAGGTGAATTAATGTCAGATACCAACGTTGAAACAACGTCAAACGCTGACATCGAAGAGAGGTTGGATAAACGTTAGATTTAAAAGGTGTATCGACGTCAAATATCAACATTGATACTACATCAAACGCCGACGTCGACAAGGTGTTAATCTACGTCAAATGTCTACATTGAAACTATGTCAAATATCAACGTCGAACCGACATCATGCATCGATGTCAACAAAAGGTTGGATAAACATTGGATTTGAAAGGTGAATCCACGTAAAATACCAACATTGAAACGTCAAATGCCGTCGCCGAAGAGAGGTTATATAAACGTTGATTTAAAAGGCAAATCGACGTCAAATATCAATGTTGTAACCACGTTACGCATCGATGTCGACAAGAGGTTGGATAAACATTGGAGGTGAAGCATCCTCAAACTTTGACTGCCTACAAAGTCTTAAAAGAAAAAAAAATGCCATCATTAAAATGATATTCTCAATAAAATTAAAATATAAAAGTCGACCATTGTACTTTATGATACTTCGCTGTGTTCCCCATATGATAAAAAAGGCCTGTATTACTAGACAACCATGTCCAGAATCATTTTACCATTTTTTAACTTGTAATGGATCTTACTAAACCCACAGTCAGTGGTCTCGCTAGCTATACTTTTTGGAAAAAAAAACGAAATGACCGCCACGCAAAGATTGCACCACGCTTAAAATATTATCGCCACACTAAAAAAAATATAACTAGCAGATTTTATTCAAATGTTACAACAATAAACACTGAAGTGTTGAACTTCGTGTGTTTGAAGCAGTTCAACAATGCTCCCACCTCTCTTTTAATCGCATATCATGAGGCACCCTTTACAAACCCAACCACAGGATCCTTTGTACGCAGCCTGCGCGTGCACGAAGGTACAGTGCCTGTGAATATAGGGGGAAGTCACTGGACGATGCGAAATATTCGGCTGGATGGGACTCGACTCCGTACCGTGATGATCGTAGTATGCACTGATATGTCCGTTTTTATGAACAGTTGATAGTACCGTGTAAAAAATTGTGAGTAACCAGCCGTGCGCGAGCATAACAAAAGAAAGCACAGGCTTGAACTGGTTTTATATTTAGGCCAGCATGTATTGTAACATTGACTAAATTTCAATGTAGCCAACTCTTGGGTTACGATCTTTAGTGGGGGGGGGGGGGGATATGGAAAGCCAAAAGGACATACCAAAAGTGGCGCAGTGCAAACTCAAATGCGTGCGCCGCCTGTCTCTTATACACATCTAGATGTCAGGCACGTCTAAGTCTCGCACATCTAAAAGCTCACTTTCATCGCTGTCTGAATAAAAAATCAGGTCAATCGCTTCCTCAGCTGTGAAAACATCTTGTGCGGCCATTTCGGAAAATTGTCGAAATTAATAACGATTTCAAATTGATATTTCTAAACATTTTTATATAAGCGCATGTGAGTTCTTCACAGATTTCGAAAGAAGAAAGCTTCACGCATGCGTGTTCAAAATTCCTGACGTATTGGAGCTAAAATAAAAACAGAAGAGCGATTTGAAAACCACCTATTTTTTAGTCACTAAATTTCGATTGCAGTCGAAAATGGGAATTCTCGGTTTGAGGTCAATTTCGACTACAGTCGAAGACGGTATCTAGAGGGTTAAGATGGTGAATTTCGAGTGGAAAGTGACGATTTGTGGCATTGTTCAAAGCGTAAGTAAGCGGTTTATGGTCAGTCAAAATGTGGAATTGTCGTCCTTCCAAAAAATGTCGAAAATGGCAAATTGAAAAGTAAATTGCAAAAAATTTCCCTTCTAAAAGCACTGTACCTAGTTTCCGCAGGTTGTAGATGTTTGGAAAAGAACGCAAGTGGTTGCCAAGCATTGTTGTGATATTGTTGCAATACTGCTCCTACTGCGGTATTTGAAGCGGTCACAAGACATACTTGTGCCTCTGGTTTTGGGTGTGATAGCAATGTGGACTTGGCGAGTGCTTCATTAATGTCAATGAAAGCTTTGGTTGCATCCTCAGTCCAGTTAAGCTGTTTTTGTGAATTTTTTGTCATGCCTATAGTACATAACATGTCAGTGAGCGGATGGACAATATGAGAACATTTAGGAATGAAACATCGATAAAAATTAATGAGACCCAGAAACTCACGTAATTTTGTAATTGATGTTGGCTGAGGATTGAAGCGGTTGAATTCCTGTCGCTGAAACAGAGTGTCCATGAAATTCTAACTCAGATTTACCAAACAAACATTTAGAAGGGTTAATGACAATACCGTATTCCTTGAGACGATCAAACAATTGTGTAAGGTGCTGTTCATGCTCAGTAGCATTTTTGCTTGCAACAAGAATGTCATCAATGTAAGCGTACACAAAATCAAGACCGCGACAAACTTCGTCGATAAACCTTTGAAATGTCTGTGCGGCATTGCGCAAACCAAATGGCATTCGCGTAAACTCATATAATCCAAATGGTGTGGCGATGGCTGTTTTACGAATGTCCTCTTCTGCCATTGGGATTCGGTGGTATGCTCTCACTAAGTCAATTTTGGAAAACACTGATGTTCCATGAAGGTTCGCAGTAAAATCCTGAATGTGAGGGACAGGATATTGATCAGGGACAGTTACACAGTTTAATGCCCTATAATCCCCACAAGGACGCCAGTCACCAGGTTCTTTCTTGGGGACCATGTGTAATGGCGACCCCCAATTGCTTCCTGAGGGTCTAATAATGCCGAGGTCCAGCATGTGCTGGAACTCATTCTTGGCGATTTTTAAACGATCGGGTGGTAATCGGCGAGGGCGAGCTACAGTGGGTGGGCCGTTTGTTACAATGTAATGCCTGACACTGGTGCATTGGTGCATACTTTTGGTGAGGTTTGACAATAGAGGGATACCTCGAAAGATAAGGTGAAGATAAGGCTGTATTTGGTAACGCATAGATTAGGCTAAGTGCAGGCATAGAAGAAAACATCCCATTACAGCTAAAGAAGTAGTCCGGTCAATTAAACGCCTGTGACGAAGATCTGGCAAAAGATTAAAATGACTTAGAAAATTAGCGCCAATAATGGCATGTGTAACGTCAGCAATAATAAAAATCCACTGGAAAGTCCGGCGTAGCCCAATATCTATTGTTAGCGATTTATGTCCATAAGTGCAAATTATTGATTAATTTGCAGCTTTTAAATCGCTACCTTTGAAATGTTTACGGTCAGTTTGCAGTGGCGGTATTACGCTAACTTCTGCACCTGTATCGACTAAAAATCGTCGTTTGGAATGGTGATCCGTAACATAAAACAGAGGACTTTGAAGGGGAAAGCCAGACGAGGTTGTTGCCCCTACCTGCTGGCATTGGAGTTTTCCGTCGGTGGTGTGAATGTGCATGGCGACTTGCAGCGACGTGCCCGTACACCAAATTTAAAATGGTACCAACATACCTGTGGGTTGGTATTAGCCCTGGTGTGGGTGGGGCTACGGGTGCGTCGCCGGAGCTGGGTGAACGCCGGTTGCGGCTTCGGGTATTCCGCTGGATAGGAGGGATTTAACATCCTGGGAGAGTTGGTTAATTTGTGGAAGTAATGACCCAGTGTCTATGGAGGGCTGTTGGTGAACTGTTGCAACAGTCTGTTGGGTTGATACTTCCATAACTGTATCAGTGTATCATCTTTGGTGCCATTATGGTGCCAAGATAAGTTGCAAGTTCGTTGTCAAGCATTGTAAAAACAATTGTTTCATTACCTGTTGTTCCAACTCTCGATCTCCTAACAGTCGGTACACTTTCCTTAACAATTGGGATGGCTTCCTATTCCCCAGTTCCTCGGATGTGAGCAGCTGACTCAGACGTTTATGCTCAGAGTCGGATGTCCACCTTATGAGTTCAGTCTTTAATTGGACATATCGGCCCACTGCAGGAGGGTTCATTAGAATATCTCTAACCTCTGCTGCGATCTGTGGCTGTAAAGAGCCAACGACATGGGCATATTCGTGGCATCAACAGTAAGTAATGTTTCTGGTGATAAACTGCGCTCCGACTTCCGTGAACCAATGGGCCAGGTCATTCGGCCAATATGGTGGTAATTTCAGGCTTACCGCTGATGCTGTTG